GGAACATCAATCTCCTCCGGGCCCTGCCCTAGTCTCCCCAAAACAGCTCTCTCTAGAAGCACCCCGCTCTGTCCTGGCCCCAGGCCAACTCACTGGGCCACTTTTATTTTTTACACTCAGCTGTCTCGCCACCTAGTGGCAACATGTAGGAAAAGCGAGAATTTTTTTTCAAAACAAATCTATTTTTTCTTTCAACTGCAATAGCAAGGCCAGGCTTGGAAGCCAGGCCCCACAATGGGAGGAGACTGGGGCCTAGTGACTAGAGCACGGGAGGCCGCAGGTCAGGACGCCTGGGTTCAATTCCAGTTCTGGGAGGGGAGTAAGATTTGGCTGAGGGTTGGGAGTCAGGACTCCTGGGTTCTCTTCCCAGTTGTGGGAGGGGAGCAGAGTGTAGGGGATTAGTGCAGCAAGACGATGTTACCGAGACCCAAGATTCCTGGGTTCTCGCCGCCTCAGCGTCTACTTTAGCTTTTGCCTTCCCTCCGAGGCTGGTTGGGTCACTGATGCTCAGGGGCCAACCACACAAGCCCAGGCAGGAGGCAATTCCACCCCCAGCTAATGCCACAAACCCAGCACAAACCAGCAAATAGAGAGGGATTTAGACAGCTTAACGAAAAACCTCTATGCCAGGGCTGGAGGAGAGCAGATGGCTTGACAGCTCCGTGAGGAGGGGAGGGTCCACACCGGCATCCACCCCCACTGTCCTCCTTTGCCAGAATACCTTCAAAAACCTTGCCATGCGTGGGCAGCTGAGACCACTGCTCGTCATGCCCATTGCTCCCATCCATCCCCAGCGCTTGTCCTGGATTGGAAGCTTTTGCGGGCAGGAACTGCCTTTTGGGTGGTTATGCAGCACTTTGCAATGGACTTGTGTGGGTATGAGGGTCTCGTGGTTTGAGCAGCGGGGCTTGGAGTCCGGATTCCACGTAACTAGTGGACAACATTGGGGGCTGCTGGGAATCAGGACTCCTGGGTTCTCTTGGCAGCAGAGGGCGCTCCAGTGGTTACAATGGCAAGGCTGTGACAGAGTGGCACTGTTCCGGCTTTTTGAGTCGGTGGGTGCCCCCAGAGCTCCCCTTAAAAATGGATCCCTGGCACAGAAGCATGGTGTATAAGCTGAGCTGTTGGTCCGATCCAGGTTGGCAGGGAGGATACCAGGGCAGATGGGCCCATTGGTCTGATCTGATGCAGCAGGGAGCTTGGGACACAGGCTCGAGGGGCTCATTGTTCTGATCCAGGCAGGCAGGAACTGGGCTCGGTGGGCCCATGGCTCTGATCTGATATGGGAAAGCAGGGCATGGCGCTAGACTGGCCCACTGTTCTGCAGCTAACTTCTGGGTAGGTAGGTGGGGAAACACCCCTCTCCATGCTGATCCCCAGAGCGCCCTCTGCAGGGGGGGCTGTGCCACTGATCTCTCAGTTCAAAGGACCATGATAGTCTGACCTCCTGAAGGGCTGAGACCCAGATCCCCGCTGCCTTAGCCCCGGACCTGGCAGAGTTGTTGAAAAGCACATTGAGCACAGTGAACACCGCACTGCAGCACATCAAGTATAAATAGCCACATTTATCACCCTGGGCGAACAGGAAACAATTGCTCCACAGAGATATTTTATTTCTTCTGTTTTCTTTTAAATGAGCAAATGTAGTGGTTGTTGGAAAGTATCAATATGACATATTGCAAACAGGGAAATATACTAGTTGATCAGAAGTACTGGGGTTAAGAGCCCAGGACAGCATCTTTAACCAGGACCCGCATAGGACAAAACTGTTACTGTTTATATATTGCTGGAAACCCCAAGTCAGGATTCTGTTGTACCAGGCGCTGCCCAGACAGAGACTGGCCCTGCCCCAGCTGGGGTCAGGGCCCTGTTGTTCCAGGCGATGCCCACAGAGAGAGACAGTTCCTGCCCGAGCTGAGATCAGGGCCCTGTTGTTCCAGGTGCTGCCCAGAAAAACAGTGAGAGACCATCTCCAAAGAACTTACAATCTGTCTAGACAAAGGCAAAATTATTCTCATTTTAGAGAAGGGGAAACTAAGGCAAAAATGAGGTGACTTGCCAATGTTTCTAGCAGAGCTGGGAATCAAACCCAGAACGCCTAAGTCCCAGTCACATGGCCATCTTCTCCTGTAATTGCCTCATGCCTGACCTGGGATGAGACATGTCATCAGTCTCTGCCTCTTCAACCATTGGCCTCTCAGCTGAGCGTGATCACAAGGGGTCACTGGGGAAAGCTGGCCTGGTGGCAGAAGTGGGGCTCAGAGCTGTGGGTTCAATTCCTAGCTCTACGACTCCTTGGATGAGCCTCTCTTTTTGCCTCTGTTTCCCCACCTATAAAAGTGGGCTAGTATTTCCCCACCTCAGAGGAGGCAGGATAAATTCAGGAAATGTTTCGATGATGCAGCCATGAAAATTGTGAATCACCTGCATTTTCAAAATTCAACTTCAGCCAGTCCAATGGCAGAAGGGACCATTACATCATTTAGTCTGACCTCCTTTGTAACCCAGAGCAGTGAGTTCACCCTGGTCCCCCTGCCCTGCGTCCAGTAACATCTCAAAAGGCATCCAGCCTTGACTGGAAGCCATGGAGAGGATTAACCAACACTTCCCCAGGCAGTTTGTTTCAATGGTTAATCCCTCTCAGGGAGAAAAACCAGTGTCTTATTTCCAGCTGGAATTTGTCTATCTCTAATGTCCAGCCACTGGTTCTTGTTATGCTGTGGTTTGAAGCCACGTAAGTTGTTAGATCATCTTCTTTGTCTCCAAGGGGATCCTGAAAAGCAGGACGGGAACGAGAATCAGTTGGGAGCGGGTTTGGAGATATGTCCTGGAAGAATCAAACCACTTGAGCTGGGTGGTTTGCTTGGAAACGTAGCAAGGGCTGGGAGCTCCCGTGGGTAAATCTGTGATAGGGTGCTTGTACAGCAAAGTGAAAGAGACACGGCCGTTTAGGACAGGAAGTGAAGACAGCTTTATCTAGAAGGCTTTGGAGAAGTAGGATGGAGTAATTCATGCTGAAGTTTAGCTGGAGAGGTAGAGCTAAGAGAAAAAGGTATCCCAAAGCGTGGATTCACAACACTGCCACAGCACACTGGGGCATCGGGGCCAGCCCTGACTGCCAGGGGAGCTCCCACCCCTTGCAGCATAGCGCCCCCTAGTGCCCCGCTGGAGCACTGGGTCCAGCCCTGACTGCCAGGGGAGCTCCCACCCCTTGCAGCACAGCGCCCCCCAAGTGCCCCGCTGGAGCACTGGGTCCAGCCCTGACTGCCAGGGGAGCTCCCACCCCCTGCAGCACAGCGCCCCCTAGTGCCCCGCTGGAGCACTGGGTCCAGCCCTGACTGCCAGGGGAGCTCCCACCCCCTGCAGCACAGCGCCCCCTAGTGCCCCGCTGGAGCACTGGGTCCAGCCCTGACTGCCAGGGGATTGCTCCCCCCCTGCAGCACAGCGCCCCCTAGTGCCCCGCTGGAGCACTGGGTCCAGCCCTGACTGCCAGGGGATTGCTTCCCCCCCTGCAGCACAGCGCCCCCTAGCGCTGATGCACTGGGGCCACTGACTGCCCTGGGAGAGCACCCCACTTCACTCCCTGCAGCACAGCACCCCCTATCACTGCCCTGGGGCATTGGGGCCAGTCCTGGGCACCCCCATCTCGCTGTCTGCAGCACGGCGCCCCCTAGCGCCGCGCTGGGACACTGGGCTCAAAGATCTGACAACCGGGGGACAGCCGCTCTGCCAAGTGCATCGGGACAGGCCCAGGGCCCGGGTGCTGCCTGCAGGAGTGGGGGCAAAGCCCGGAGAAAGACGCACCGATCCCTTCCCCATCCTGTTTCGGGGGCGGGGCACTCTCCCAGCAGCAGCCGCCGCCGGCCCGCGTGAGAGATGGCGCAGGGGGGGAGTTCTGAGCCCCAGATCACGCGTGGGTCTGTCCCACCATGTTGCAAGGTTCCACCCCCCCCCCCGGCCCGACACCACCAGGCCGTCACAGCGTTGCATTGGGGGGGGGGGGCTCCCAACGTCGCCCCCCGCCCCGCTTCTGCCACGGATCGTCGCAACCTTCCGTCTCCTCCTTCCTCCCTGGCTGGTTGTCACGTTCGATGGGGGCAATATTCCACCCCCCACGTTCCTTCCGCCACCCCCCCCCCCCCGCCCCCGGATCGTCGCAATGTTCTATTCCCGCCACCGCCTAGATTGTCTCAACGTTCCATCGGGGTTCCCGACGTTCCACCCCCCACCTCCGGCGACGGGGACTTCCCGACGTCCCCAGCCCCCCTCCCCCCACCGCGTACATTGCCGCCACGTTCCAGCAGGGGGTTCCCAACCGTTCCCCCCCCCCCCCCGCCCCGCATCCACCCCGGCCGGCGGCAGAGTTCGATCCGGGGCTCCCCGGCCACGTTCCATCCGGCCCGCCGCAACGTTCTGTCCCCTCCCTCGAGACAGTAGCAACGTTCCATCTGGTGGGGAGAGCGGGGGAGGGGGGGTCCCCAAACTTCCTTCCGCCCCCTCCCTCTCCCCCCCTCTCGCAGCGCTCGGCCCGGGGGCTCCCCAAGTTCCCATCCGCTCGCAACGTTCCACCCCTCCCCCCTCGCTCTCCTTCCCTCCCCCCCCCCCCGCGATCGTCGCAACGTTCTATCCCCTCCCCCACCCTCCTCCCCGGATTGTTGCAACGTTCCATCCGCTGCTGCCGCCGCCGCCCGCGACGCTTCCCCGGGGCCCAGGCCGCGCTCGATCGGCGGCTCCGCCGGCTCCCCCCTCACGTGTCCCGGGCTCCCAGCTGGGGAAGAAGGGAAGGGAAGGGAAGGGGAGGGGGGGAGAGGATCGCTCTCGCTCTCCTCCTCACATGACCCGAGTGTTTGTCCCCGTGATCAGCGCCTCGGCTCCCGTGTCTCCTCCGCGTCCCCTCTGCCTCCATCCGGCGTGAGATTTAAACTCACCCGCCCCCCTTCCTCTCCCTCTTCTCCTTCCCTCCCCCCCCCGCCCCGGCCTGGTGCTGAGGGGCCTCCCCACCCCTCTCCTTCCCCCTTCCCCCTCCCCCTCCCCCCTCTCCCCCCATGGACATGCTGGATCCCGGCCTGGACACAGCCACCGCCTCTGCTGCTCCCAGGTAAGGGGACGAAGGGAGGAAATTCCCCACCCCTCTTCTGGGGGGGCCCGATTGCTTCCCACCCCCTCGCTGGGCCTGCGGAGGGGCAGGGTGGGGGAGGGGAGGGAGCCAGCCATGATCCTCCTGCAGCGGCGCGGAGAGGGGGAGAACAAAATGGAGGACGAGGCAGAGAGAGAAAGGGGGGAAGGAGGGGAAAGGGGGTAGGGGGCTGGGAGCCCAGTCGGCTGGGGGGGGAGAGGAGGAGGGGCCTTGAGTGTCTGTTGTGGGGGCAGAGTTGGAGGGGGCTGTGACTTGGGGGGAGGGGAAGGGTTGGGGCAGGGAGTTGGGGGGTGGGGCTGTGATCTGGGGGGCAGGGAGTGTTTGGGAAGCAAATAGGTGAAGGGGCTGTGACATGGGGGGGGGTCAGGGAGTGTGTCCCGAGGGCGGGAGTCGAGGAAGGGGTCCAGTGATCTGTGTGGCTTGTGCCTGGAGTTGCGGGGTGGGGGAGACAGACAAAGGGGGCCACGGGTGAGAGTGAGCTGGTGTCAGGAGTGGGGGGGGGGCTGTATGGGAGGGAGATAGGGAGGGCTGTGATCTGTGTGGATTTGTGTTGGGGGGGGCAGACACAGGAGTGAGGGCTGGGCTGGGGTGAGCTGGTGACAGGACTGAAAGGGGTGCAGACAGAGCCTGGAATCTGGGGCGCCGGGGTGAGACAGGAAGAGGGGAGCACCTGGGGTCTGAGTGAGCTGGTGGGGGAGGAGGGAGCTCAGGGGGTCTGTGAGCTAAGCGAATTGGTGTCATGGGTTGGGGGGGCAGACAGAAGTGGCAGCTGGGGTCTTAGTGGCTCGGTGTCGGGGGCCCGGAGTGTGAGGAATGAAGAAATGGGGTGGGAGGGGGCAGAGGAGAGGACTGGGGAAGTAGGTCAGGGAGGGGGAGGGCTCTTGTTAGCGTTGGAGGGCCAGAGCAGGTAGAAGTGTCCTGTGATCTGTGCGCGGTGGGGATGGGATGCCAGGGGAGCTGAGCAGGGGGAGTTCACCCCACCAAGTAATTAGTTCCCAGGATCCCCCCCCACCCCCCACTCTCTAGGTGACTTGGGACGGGGTCAGCACTGTGGCGGGGAGTGGGGCGCCAATGTAGATGAGATGGGTCCATAGACGGTGGAGTGGCCGAAAGAGACTGCAGAAGCCTAAGGGTACTTGATGCCCAGGAGAAAGAGGTGGGGGGTAGAGAGAAGTGAGGGGGGAGGAGGCCGCTGTGCTGGAAGTGGGAGAGGGTGCGGTTAGGGAGCATCTTCTGGTGATCCTCTGTGTCAAGGGGAGTGAGGTTGGAGCTGTTGGGGAGGGGGGCGGGAAGGATTCTAGGATCCGCCTGAGTTGGGGGATGTGGGAGGTCGAGGGGGGGTGGCCAGACGGAGGTCCCCATGGGGAGGAGGGAGTTGGGAGGCTCGATCCGTGTCCTGCATTTGGGGGCAGCCCAGGGATCGGAGGATGTTGCTGTAAGTGTGCGGGGGGCGGGGTGCACACTCTGGACCAGCTCAGTGGACTCCGGGGGAGCTGCGGCCCCTTGACCCCAGCTGGGATCGGGCCCCGGTGATTCCGGGGGAGCTGCGGCCCCTTGACCCCAGCTGGGATCGGGCCCCGGTGATTCCGGGGGAGCTGTGGCCCCTTGACCCCAGCTGGGATCGGGCCCCGGTGATTCCGGGGGAGCTGCGGCCCCTTGACCCCAGCTGGGATCAGGCCCCGGTGACTCCGGGGGAGCTCTGACTGACCAGCTAGGGGTCTGGCCCTGTATATGCAGACTGTGAAGAGGTAATTCACACTTTTAGGGGTCTGTGGGGGATGAGACAGGGACTGTGTTGCCTGTGATCTGTGTCCACGTCTGAGACCCCCTCTGGGGATGAAGGGCAGAGCGGCCCCCTCCCCCCAGCTGCTCTCCTCTCCTTCCTGGCGGTATAAGGCAGCTGACAAAATTCTCCAGCCCTTACCCTCCTCATAGGCTTAGCAAGAGTATCAGGACAAGCCAGGAATTGACGGGCATCTGGAAGGAAACTTGGGTTAATATTCTCCAGAGCCAGGGACATTACTGGTCCTGTGGGAGTGGGTGCCCCACATTGGCTCGGCTCCCTTGCCTGAGGCTCCACCCCCACTCCACCTCTTCCCACCCCCACTGCTCCCCTGAGAGCCTCCCTCCCTCGCTCTTTTCTGCCCCCTCCTACCTTGGGGGCCATGAGGGGGCAGCGAGGAGCCAGTGGCGGGGGCAGCCCCACTCAACAGCTGGAAGGGGGGCAGGGCCAGAGCTGAACAGCTGATTGGTGGCCTGCCCCAGGGCCCCCAGAGCAGCAGCCCTGTGGGTGCTGAGACCCCCTGTTTTTTCTCCAGGGGTGCTTGAGCCCCTAAGCACTCAAGGAGTCAGCGCCTGTGAAGGGAGATGGGCTGTAATTCAAAGCGTGGCCCTCGTAATAATCCCTGCCTCTCGTCTATCGCTTCCTAGCTGTGATCTCAAAGCACTTTGCAAAGGAGGTCGGTGTCCTCCCCATTTCACAGATGGAAAAACCAAGGCCCAGGGAGGTGAATGGAGACACCCTGGGGCTGGATCGTCTTTTGGTGGAAAGGCGAGGCTGCGGCGCGTCCGTTGTGTTGCCCCAGCGGGCGACTCTGCCCTTGTGATCGCTGGCAAGGCGAGAACTCCGGGCGGGGGCCTGGGCGCTGTTAAAGCCATTGAGTGTCTCGCAGAGGTTTTGGTGCTGCGGAGTCTGGTCGTCCTGGAGAACTTAGGGGAAAAGATTTCACGTTGGGAAGCGAAATGATGTAGAGTTGAATGGTGCTGACCCCCCAGCACGGCACCAGGGGGCACTGTGCTGTAGGGGGCGGGCAGGGGGCGCTCCCCACAGACAGTCAGGACTGGCCCCAATGCCCCAGGGTGGCGCTAGGGGGCTCTGTGCTGCAGGGGGTGGGATGGGTACTTGTCCTGTGGACGATCAGGACTGGCCCCAGTGCCCTAGGGTGGCACTAGGGGGCGCTGTGCTGCAGGGTGCGAGATGCTGACACATCTGGCTATTGTCAGAGTAGATGGGTCCCTGCGGCTGGAACTAACTGTGCCCACGGGGACTGAAGTGAATAGGTCCCATAGCCGCTCCCGGCTACAGCTGGCAACACTGGATGCTGTGGAGATCTGGGGGGCTCTCCCTGCCATGGCAGCTTTAATTAACCCTGCTAGTGGTCAAGTTCCATGGTTACTGAAGCAGCCAGTCCCTGCGCCAGCTGAGATCAGGGCCCCGTCGTGCCGGGCGCTGCCCAGACCCGGCGAGAGACAGGCCCTGCCCCAGCTGAGATCAGGGCCCCGTCGTGCCGGGCGCTGCCCAGACCCGGCGAGAGACAGGCCCTGCCCCAGCTGAGATCAGGGCCCTGTCGTGCCGGGCGCTGCCCAGACCCGGCGAGAGACAGGCCCTGCCCCAGCTGAGATCAGGGCCCTGTCGTGCCGGGCGCTGCCCAGACCCGGCGAGAGACAGGCCCTGCCCCAGCTGAGATCAGGGCCCCGTCGTGCCGGGCGCTGCCCAGACCCGGCGAGAGACAGGCCCTGCCCCAGCTGAGATCAGGGCCCCGTCGTGCCAGGCGCTGCCCAGACCCGGCGAGAGACAGGCCCTGCCCCGGCTGAGATCGGTTCTGTGGTGCTAGGCGTTGCCTCGACATGCAGCAAGAGACAGGCCCTGTCTAGGGAGCTTCTAATCTAAAGAGGGAAGCCTGGTGCAGGATGGGACATGTAGTCCAGTCTATCCTGGAGAATGTGGTTCCTGAACTACAACTCCTGGGAGGCACTGCGGTAGCATTTTCAAATAACCCTGTTTCAGGGTCCCCAACACAGGGACTTTTGGGGGTGCTGGGCAGCCCCCTCTCTGGGACTTGATCCTCCTTTAGTCCCTAGTATTTGAGCCACTCCCAAATTTATCCTTCCAAGTCTGGAAGGTGGGTTCCCCATTCTGCCGATGGGGGAAACTGAGGCACAGAGGTCCAAGGGAACAGGTGGGAGGTCTGGGAATAGAACCCAAGAACATGGGGTCTTAGCCCAGCACCTTTGCCCCGAAGCCACCCTGAAAGACCACCCAGCGGGTCTGCACTAAGTCACCGGTGGATGAGAGAGGTGGGCGTGTCTCACTGGACCTGCCAGGACAGCTGGGCTGGAGGAGCAGGCCTGTCTGCCCCGTGGACTCTCCGAAGGGAAAAAGTCTCCAGGGGCAGCCGTAGCCGCACTTCTTAGCTGTTCCTGGGATGTCCAGGCAGCTCGGAGAGGCCTGTGTGAGTGATCATTACTTCCTCAGGGAAGGGATCTGTTGGCGGGAGGCCATTAGAGGGGGGCTTGTAGTGTCCCCTAGTCCTGTGTGTCTGTGAAATAGCTCCCATTGGGAGTATATTCCAGAATAACTCCTCTGATTTCACCATGGCTTTTCGCCAATTTCAAGGCCGGGCAGGGCCATCTGATCATCTGGTCTGAGCTCCTGGGTAGCCCAGGCCAGGGAATATTGCCCAGGTCCCCCTGCACTGAGCCTCATACTCGCCCAACTTCCCCCTGAACTGCATAAGATCAGAATCTGACCCATTTATTAGTAGTATTATTTTAAAATCCGTTCTGTATGTATCCCATTCCCCGGTTTCTATCCCCTCTCCCCCCATAGCCAGTCCGTACCAGCTGCAAGTGGATTGGCGTCAGCGCCCTCTAGAGAGGAAAGGCCCCATGTCCCATTCCCTGCCCCACTGAGCCAGCCAGCCAGCCCCCTCCACCCCCCCCCCAAGCTCTGGGGCCAGATGGGGAGCTAAGGCACCCAAGAGGCCATACGCTGAGCCAGTCTGTTCCTGGATCGGAGCCGGTGCCCAGACATGGCAGGCACGTCCCGTTCGGGGCCCTTTTGCATGCATTTCATAACGGGATACATTTCACAAGGGCATTAATCGGTGTGTAACGTCCACCCCCAACCATCGTCCGCTTTGATCCTCTGCAGGGATACAACCAGGGGATCTAAAAGCGTAAACGCCTTCCGAGTGACCGGAACAACCAGATCCAGTGGTGCAGAGGAATTAACTGACTCAAAGTGCTATGCCTGATCTAGCCACTAGGGAGTGACAGTCGCTCCTCCTTTGCCAGGCTTACCAGGGCAAGAAATGTGGTTGTTACTTACTGGGGGGGGGGAACCCAGGGCCACCGAGTCAGGAAAGACCCTCCGAAAACAAAGCTTTAAGTGCAGGGTGCACAAATTGTGGGCCCACACTAGCACCAGGCAGCCACGTCACCGAGCACCCGCCCGTTGCCTTCATCTGATCATGGTGGCCCTGTGTTGGAAAGGGAATGGTCAGTGCGGGTGGCTCCCAGGCACACACGAAACTGACCGGGTGGAAAGGAAATTTGACCGATGGTGTAAGTGGCTGTGTGAGTCTCCCTGCAGCCTGTGCTCTGCTCATCCAGGCGGGAGCGTCTCTGGGCAGTTGCATACCATGCTGGCATCCAGATAGGGCATGGGCATTATCTCTCCCTGCCAGCGGGAAGGATTAGATTTCAACCCGTTCTAATACCTCCCGGCATGAAACCCTGTTTCGGAAAGCAGCTGTCTGAGCCTTCATCTGCGGGAAAGGAGAGTAAGTCGCCGCATGCATTGTAGCTAGAAGCTTCTGAGAAATAGCTGGGTTGGATTTCAGGATCCTTTGTTTGTGTTTATGGTAGGACCGACAGGCACTGTTGTCAATCACTGCACAGACACACTGTGAGAGACCATCCCTGCCCCAGCTAACCACTAGACCCCACTCGCCTCCCAGTGCTGGGGATAGAAGCCAGGAGTCCTGGCTCCCAGCCCCGCCCTGCTCTAGCTCACTAGACCCCACTCCCTTCCCAGCGCTGGGGGTAGAACCCAGGAGTCCTGGCTCCCAGCCCTCCCCTGCTCTAACCCACTAGACCCCACTCGCCTCCCAGCGCTGGGGATAGAATCCAGGTGTCCTGGTTTCCAGGAGTCCAGTTCTGGGTCCGTCTCATCTCTCCCTCGTTTTCCCCAGTCTCAGCTGGGACAGGAAGTCTGGTAGAGCCTGGAATCAAACCTAGCTCCCACTCTAGTTCCTCAAACACTAGATCATCTTCCTGCTCTCTACCACTCTTGAGATGGTAGCAAGTGCTGGCAAAAGAGATCAGGCGAAACTGATCCAGCCAGAAATGCAGCTGCTTCTGGGGTGAGGTGCTTCAACAGCGCACAGCAATGCTGCAGAGTGTAGGACAGGAGACCAGGGGAATCCTGTAGCAGATTAAAATTTAAGGATGAGGATGTGGGGGGGAATTAATAGCTCTTTCCAGTAGTCCTTGTGTCCTTGGAGAATGAGGGTCTTCTCCAGCAGTGAACTGGGTGCAGGGAAAGAGGTTAAAATATTGTCAGCTGGGTCCTGGGAGGTGTTTGGTTTCTATGAAATCCGGTAGCTTGGTGGCATTGGTTGTTGGGTGTGTGTTACCCCCATGGCAGAATTCTGCCTGGTCTTCTCTGGCTGAGGGGCTGAGATCCATGTTGCATGGCAAATTGTCACAACGTGAATTACAGCCTCTTGCAAGAGTGGCTACGTGGGGGTTCTCCTCCATCTGGCGTCTTCTTGGAGAGCAGGGAAAGGGGAGTGGGATCTGGTGGGTTAGAGCAGGGGGGCTGGGAGCCAGGACGCCTGGGTTCTCTCTTCCGCTCTGGGAGGGGAGTGGGGTCTAGTGGTTAGAACAAGGGGAGCTGGGAGCCAAGACGCCTGGGTTCTATCCCCAGCTCTGGGAGTAAAGCACCGGCTGAAGCGGCTCCCGCTGGTGTTGTCTCCTTCTGTCTTCCAGCCACGAGAAAGGACAAGAAGTTGAAGAAGGAGTCGAGCTGCAGGAAGGTGAGGCGAGGCCAGGGAGCCCTGTCGCCGTCCAGGTGCTGCGTTGCTTGGAGCTCCTGCTTGGGCCACTTAAACCAGCAGGGTGGGACTCGTGCAACCCTGACAGCCTCCCCCTGCTCTAGCCATTAGACCCCACTCCCCTCCCAGAGCTGGGGATAGAACCCAGGAGTCCCGACTCCCAGCCTCCCCCGCCCCGCTTTGACTCCATAGGTCATGCTGCCTCCCCAGAGCCGGGGTGTGAACCCTTCCCCCTCCCTCGGTGGGGTCCTGTGTGAGTGACTGGTCTCTCCTGGCTCCCAGGGGACGTCACGAACGCCGAGGAGCAGACAGCAGTGGCCATTGCTAGTGTCCAGCAAGCAGCCTTCACAGACCACAATATCCAGTACCAGTTCCGCACAGAGAACAATGGAGGACAGGTGAGAGACGCTAGGGGGCGCTGCGCTACAGGGGGCGGGGTGAGGCTCTCCCCTGGCAGGCAGGGCTGGCTTCGATGCCCCAGCGTGGCACTAGGGGGCGCTGTGCTGCAGGGAGTGGGGCGGGGGCTCTCCCCTGGTGGTCAGGGCTGGTCCCGAAGCCCCAGCACGGCACTAAGGGGCCCTGGGCCGTCTGTGGATTCTGTTCACATTTCTCTATCCCAAATGATCTTTCCTGTCTCCCTCTCCTCCCAGGTGACATACAGAGTGGTCCAGGTGACAGACAGTCAGCTGGATGGACAGACGGACGCAACGGGAGCCGTCAGCGTGGTCTCGACAGCCGCCTTCGCCGGGGGCCAGCAGGCTGTCGCTCAGGTGGGGGGCGGGCTGCGCCCGGTTTCTAACCAGGGCTTTGTAAAAGGGACTGGGGAACGAGCAATAGCTGGCCCCTCTAGTGCATTCTTCCTCCATAGGTCTCCAAGCGCTTTGGAAAGGAGCCCAGTATCACTGGCCCCGTTGGAGAGATTGGGGAAACTGAGGCACGGAAGGGTGAAGCAGGGACAGAGATGGAGCTCTGGAGTCCTGAGACTCAGGCCAATGGCCTCCCCCTTGGGGAAGCTCTGATTAGTTCTGAACAACGGGCTCAGCAGATAGCTCGCGTGGAGTTAATTATAAATCACGCTGCAAGAGTGGGCTGTATTAGGTGTATTATGGTAGTGTCCATGGGTCCCAGCTGGGGTCAGAGCCCCGATGTGCCAGGCGCTGCCCAGGCGCAGCGAGAGACAAGCCCTGCCCTGGAGAGCTCAGTCCCCATCTGAAAGATGCAGCAGAGCTGGGAATGGAACCCAGGTGTCCCTGTGTCCCCACCATCCTTTCCCTGTCTCGGGGAGCTGGAGGTGCTCTTGGGTTACAGCCCCCCCGCCCCAGTGCTTCGCAGTTTATTTTTAGCCTGACGTTGCGGGGGCCTCTTTGTTCTCCGCGAGCGTGCACTCGCTCGGATGTGGTCAGGGCCAGGCCGTCTCATGCAGCTGTGGCTGTTGGCTGCACCTGGCAGCTCGGGGCACAAGCCCCAAGGAGCGAAGCAGGTGCCTTTCTCATGCAGCCGAATGCGGGCTCCGCCGTCTGGATTGTCAGCCACTTGGGACAGGGGCCAGCACCTGGCACCAGGGGGGTTCTGGGCCAGCACTGGGGCTGATGATAATCCTGCCCTTCGCCCCTGACTTATCTGCACAGGGCAATGGCAGAGTATTTCCCCGGGAGGTTGTGGAGTGAAAGCGGTTTGAGTCCAGAACAGTGTTTACACGGGACCCTCTTCTGGACTAGCTTTCGGGGTCTAACCCCTGCTTCTCAGGTCCAGCTGTGCAGATGGCCAGAGGGCAGCCGGCTGGAGCCCCTCCGCTGTGGGTGGGAAGGGAGGGCTAGTCACTGCCTCGCTCCGTAGTGTCTCCAGCAGCCTCTCCTCTTGGGCAAACGCCCCCCGGCTCTGTGGCCAGCTTCTCCTTTTTAATCTGCCCTTTGCTGGGGAGCCCAAGCTCTGCCGCTGCACCTAATTGGCGTGGGTGGGATGGGGCGCATCCCATCACTAGGCTGTAAAAGGCAGTCTGGCCTGCTGGGTAGAGGGCTAGTTCGTTCCCGGCTTGATCTGCCTGGTAACGGTGGCCAAATCCTGTGGCTCCGTGCCTCAGTTTCCCCATCTGAGCCATGACGATAATGATGCTGGCCGCGTGTAGGAAGCGTTTCCACCCGAAGAGCTCAACCGCTAGAGAAGAGCTCGGGGGTCCGATGATGCTGGTTATTCGTTCTCTAACCATAAAATGGCCCCAGGATTTTTCTTTTTTCTTTTCTTTTCTTTTCTTTTCTTTTCTTTTCTTTTCTTTTCTTTTCTTTTCTGAAAAGCCTTAAAAAGTTGGGTCTTGGCCTATGTAAGCAATGTCGTGTGGGGGTCACACTTACAGGCTGCAGGGCTGTGCCCTGCAGAGCAGCTGCTCTGGGAAGGACCCAGGAGTCCTGGGGCACCAACAGCCCATGAGCTCCCCGGCATTTCTGTGGCTAAGAGGGCGAGCACCCCGCTGGGCTGGAGAAGAGCGAGTGGGAGCTGGTAAGTGGGGTCCCCTCTGGATACAGCATGGGGGACGCCATGACTGGAGACTGCGCCCAGCTCTGGGGGGATGCACGTCAAACAGGACATCAGGAAATCGGGGAGGGCTCAGGGAAGAGCGACGGGGATGATCTGAGGGCTGGAAAACCTGCTGAAGGAGCTCGATCTGTGGAGTTTCTCCAGAGACGGCTCAGAGGGGACTAGATCCCGGTCTATCAGAGTCTCCCTGGGGAGGAGATTTCGGGGAACAGAGGGCTGGTTAGCTCAGCCAGGACAGGCAAAGCGGGAGCTGGCAGATTAATTTAGGCTGGAAATAAGGGGCAGATTTTTAACCGGGAGAGAATTAACCCTTTGACTGTTCCAAGGGACCTGGTGGGATCTTTATCACCTGGATGTCCTGAAATCTAGATCTTTCTACAAGACCCTTTGCTTCAGTTCTTTGGGCCAGCCCTGACAGCCAGTGGAGAGCTTGCACCCTACAGGGCAGCGCCCCCTAGCGCCGTGCGGGGGCATTGGGGCCAGCCCTGGCTGCCAGGGGAGAGCCTGCCCCCTGCAGCATAGCGCTCCTCCTGGCTTCCCCATGTCTCGTCGGCTAGATCCCCGTCCTCTTACTGACCACACTGAGGCAGAAGAGGGTGACTGAACTGTAGATCTGGGCTTCAGGGCAGCGATCTCCAGCTGGTGGTGGGGTCAGGAGGAAATCTCTCAGGGGCAGGTCATTCCATCATTGACCACTACGGGGTGCCTTTGTCTGAAGCAGCTGGTTCTGGCCAGTGCTGGAGACAGGACACCAGGCTAGATGGGCTCGTTGGTCTGATCAGAGGGTGGGGAAGGATATCAGGCTAGGCCCCGCTCCCCTCTGAGAGCCGGGGATAGAACCCAGGAGTCCTGACTCGCTCCCCTCACCTGCTCTAACAGGTGCCCTCTTCTCCTCTTCTTCAGGCTGTGATCCAGAACCCGTTCAGCAATGGCGGAAGCCCGGCCGCAGACGCAGTCAGCGGAGAGGCCCGCTTCGCGTATTTCCCTGCCTCCACGGTGGGGGATGCCACGGCCGTGTCAGTTCAGACCACAGATCAGTCGCTGGCACAGGCTGGAGGTGAGAGGACTCCACCAGTTTCCCGGGGCTGGAAAGACTTGGGGGGGGCAGGAAGGGTGGCTGGGTCTGTTTGCTTCTAAGACTCAGGACTTCTCTACTCTGCAGCTGGGCACATGGCAGGGGGGTAAAGACGCCTCGCCGGTGAAGGTTTGGCCGCTCTGGTTCACGGCTGGCGCGGCGTCATCCGCAAAGCATGCTGGGAGGATGGCGTGGCTGACCTGGAATATCTCAGCCCTGCTTTATTTAAAGGGAAGGTCTAGAAAGGGTTAGCAGAAGTGGGGAAGCATTTTGGGAGACGGAAAGGGGCTCTCTGGAGACCCAGACAGTGTCGGTGCGTCAGTCGCATCCGAGGCAGCCTCCTCCTCCCCCAGCGGCGGGCTCAGGCTCTCGGCAGACTCAGGCAGCATTGCAGCGTCGGTCACACTCAGAGCAGCTCCCCCCCTTCCAGCGACGGGCTCAGGCTCTCGGCAGACTCAGGCAGCGTTGCGGCGTCGGTCACACTCAGAGCAGCTCCCCCCCCTCCCAGCGACAGGCTCAGGCTCTCGGCAGACTCAGGCAGGTGTCAGTTTTGCTCACTCATGCTTTGGAGCTTTCCCCCGGCCCCCGAGGAACAGAAACCCCTTTTACTGAACGCTGAGGTTCTGCAAAGTCACATGAGTCCAGGAGCCCAATCCTGAGCACGTGGCTAGAGCATCTCGCCCTTAATCCTTAATATGAATTGCGCCAGGTATTTGTAGTGGGGGATGGGGCAGAACCGCTTCCAGGCTGTATTCCCAGGTCCGCAAAGAACCACCCCAAACCAGGCTCACGCCCCAATGACTTCCTCTTCCCCTTTAAATCCTCCTCAGCCTGACCCAGATCTAGTGAATCTCCGGGATTGAAATTTGGGCACGAGTGGCTGTTCCTGATTGATTATTCCCCCCCCCCCTTGTTTAAATGACCAGCATCCCAGCAGAATAGCATCATCATCAGGCTGTTAATTGCCCCCTCGTTACAGCCGTTTCTGGGGTCTGATAACGAGACCCCGAGGCATCTAACCTGGCTGCAGCGCCAACCTTCCCCTTCTGTAACCTGGAGGGCAGCTGAAGCCGAGCCATTCAGATCGAACGTAGGCAGAGTCGTTCAGAATGGAACCCAGGAGTCCTGGCTCCCAGACCCCCCCGAGTCTAACCCACCAGACCCCACTCCCCTCCCAGCGCTGCGGATAGGACTCAGGGGTCCTCATTTCCAGGAGCCCAGTTCTGAGTCTGTCTCACCTCTCCCTCTGTCTCCCCCAACAGGCCAGTTCTACGTGATGATGACCCCCCAAGACGTGTTGCAGACAGGGACGCAACGCACCATCGCTCCTCGCACCCACCCGTACTCCCCGTATGTAGCCCGTGAAGTTGGGGTGTGGGGTGGCCCCAAAAATCTCCCATCTGCCTGCAACTTGCCCAGCTTCAGCTATGTGGGGAGGGGGTCCCCCATGGGGCTGGGATCTGCTTGCTGGGGGAGGGATAGTGGATTGCTGGGGGATCGCACAGCTCCTCTCTCGGCCCTTGGGATCCTGCCCAGCTTCCCCCCTCCCCCAGCTCCTGCTCTAACCACCTCTCCCCAGCCTCCGGGGTTTCCTGGCTCCTCGCTGGGTGCGGCCCTGTACCAGCACCCGCTGCCTAGGTGTGCCCAGCAGATCCTTCCCCTCTCCACCAGCTACGCCGAGCAGCACCTCGCCAGGAGCCAGCCAGCCACAGGCAAACCCACCTGGGCCTGGCATCACCCATACAGGGCGTCCGCCTTGCAGGGGATTAGAAACCCCTGCAGAGGAGCCAGCCTGTGACCAGGGGGGTTAGGTCCCAGGACCGAGTGTGTGACTGGGGGTGGGCTCTCAGGAAGGGGGGCTTGGAAAGGAGTTTAGACACTGAGAGAGAGACCGCTGCCCCCTGCTGGATGGAACTGGACTGTGTGTGTGTACCTCCTGCCCCCTTCTGGATCTGGATCTGCACGCCTTGAGTGAGTGTGAGGAGGGAGAGCGAAAGGTCAGTAGCTCAGGATGGCCTGGACTCCGCATGGGGGTTCGGTGTCAGTTCAGATATTTTTTTTGCCCCTCTTGTAACTCCCTCCTCTCTCTTTGTGCCACCCTAGGAAGATGGATGGGACGCGGACGCCCCGTGATGAGAGACGGCGAGCCCAGCACAATGAAGGTGGGTGGCGGGCTGAGATCCCGCTGGTCTTGTGCCCCATGGCCCCGTTTCACCCCACTGATCCGGTGGCTTCCCCGTCCCAAACACGGCCCTTTGTGCCCTTGAGATCCTTGATAGGCAGATTGTATCTGGCTGGGCTCCCCCCCGAAGCTACCCACCCCCTCAGCCAAGTGTGAGAAATGTCTTTTCTCTTTTAGTATAATCTCCTGGCCCTCCACAGGGCCCTGAGATCTCTGGCCAACTGCTTTTAATACCCCAATGCAGCCTGTCCCGGGCAGCACACCTGGGTTTGGGAATCTCCATCCATCCTGGAAGTGCAAATAATGAGAGGGAATGTGTGTGCGGATGGAGAAGAAAACAAGGGGGAAATTCTCTCTGCGCAGATCATCTCCGGGCTGGGATATCGGGGTTCTGAAAGGCTCTTAGAGGGGTGCTCTCAACCTGTATCTAACAGGGGGATCCAAGTCTGAACAGTCATGGCTGGGGCCAGCAGAATGTTTTCTATTGGAATGGGATTTTGATGGAAAATTGGGTTTTCGGCACAACAGAACTTACAGTGAAAATTTTCTTCCTGTGGAAAATTTTGATTTTTTTTTCCCCCACAAATTGCTGAGAGTCTGAAAATTGCCATGGTTTGGCTGAAATATTGAATGTCTAGATTCTGAAATGTAGAGCTGGTCTGAAAACCGACTTTCCATCCAGCAAAATGTGTTGAGACATTAACATATTCATCCCCTGTCTGGCCAGAAAGCCAAACCATTCATGGTTTTTGCCATACAAATATTTAAACTGCCATTTGGGGGTCAGTATGGACCGTTTTCTGTTTTAAACATTTTTTAATATAAAAAAATTCAAAAGGAACCATTTAAACTCTTCCATTGGAAAGATTTTTGTTTTCTAAAATTTTTTAAACAAAATTTTGTCTGAATCAGTACGATTTCACAAAACGTTTTGGGTTTGTTCAGAAAGGAAGTATCCAGTTGTCTTTTTATCTACCAGTTGTACTAAAATTCCACCACATGGCCTCATGCCTGCTGGCCTCTAAATTGAGCTCTTTGGTCAAACTACATCTCCCATGATGCACTGTGGTGCCTCATGCATTTTTCTCACAGAGTTGATCTCTCTGGTAATACTACATCTCCCATGATGCACCGCGGCCACGCAACTGCCATGATACATCTTCTGACCAAGAGGGCAGACCGTGGTGCATCATGGGAGATGTCGTTCAGCCAGGGAGATGGGTCTGTGGGGTGGTTTGGAGCAGGATGCACCCGGACTACAACTCCCAGAAGGCCCTAAGCAGCTTTTCAGAATTTTGGCCAAAAACTCAATTTTTATTTTTTCATTTTCATCAGCATTTTTGGGCCCCCCCCCCCCCCTCCCGTTTTCCGATCAGCTCCAGTCCTGCTGCAACCTGCCCTGTGGCTGGGCCGAGGCGCCAGGTGGGGGCGCTGTGCGTTAACCATCTGTGTTTCTCTTCACCCCCCCCACCCCCCCACCCCCCCCGCAGTGGAGAGGAGGAGGCGGGACAAAATTAACAACTGGATTGTCCAGCTATCGAAAATCATTCCAGACTGCAACACTGACAACAGCAAGACGGGCGCGGTGAGGGGCAGGGGCTGGGCCGGGCCGGGAGGGGAGCATGGGGGGGGATGATATTTGAGGGAGGGGGCAGCGGAGACTGGAGCGGGGAGCTCCCTGCGTTGGGGGAGGGGCATATACTGACACACACCTACCGGGAACAGACTTCATGGGGCAGCTCCCACCAGGCCATGAGGAAGCGAGGAGGTGATATTTTGAGTCTGCTTACCGGTTTGTTTATTGTAGGGGGGACTCGGAACCCTTGGGGGTTTCCACGCCCTGGCTTGGTGGTGGGGTGGGGTGGCTTGGTGGGTGCTCGGATTATTGTAGGGTCTCGGGGTCAGGGCTCTGTGCGTGGTTTGTTATTGTAGGGTCTCCTGAAGGCGCTGGGTCTCCAAAAACACTGGGTTGGTTGTTGTGTAGGATGACTGGCAAACGGCTAATGTAGTGCCCATCTTTAAAAAGGGGAAGAAGGAGGATCCAGGGAACTACAGGCCAGTCAGCCTCACCTCAGTCCCTGGAAAAATCATGGAGCAGGTCCTCAAGGAATCCATTTTGAAGCACTTAGAGGAGAGGAAAGTGATCAGGAACAGTCAGCATGGATTCACCAAGGGCAAGTCATGCCTGACTAATCTAATTGCCTTCTATGAGGAGATGACTGGCTCTGTGGATGAGGGGAAAGCAGTGGACGTGTTGTTCCTTGAGTTTAGCCAAGCTTTTGGCCCTGTTTCCCACAGTATTCTTGTCAGCAAGTTAAAGAAGTATGGGCTGGATGAATGAACTACAAGGTGGATAGAAAGCTGGCTAGATTGTCGGGCTCAACGGGCAGTGATCATAGAATCATAGAATCTCAGGTTGGAAGGGACCCCAGAAGGTCATCTAGTCCAACCCCCTGCTCGAAGCAGGACCAATTCCCAGTTAAATCATCCCAGCCAGGGCTTTGTCAAGCCTGACCTTAAAAACCTCTAAGGAAGGAGATTCTACCACCTCCCTAGGTAACGCATTCCAGTGTTTCACCATCCTCTTAGTGAAAAAGTTTTTCCTAATATCCAATCTAAACCTCCCCCACTGCAACTTGAGACCATTCCTCCTCGTTCTGTCATCTGCTACCATTGAGAACAGTCTAGAGCCATCCTCTTTGGAACCCCCTTTCAGGTAGTTGAAAGCAGCTATCAAATCAATGGCTCCATGTCTAGTTGGCAGCCGGGATCAAGCGGAGTGCCCCAAGGGTCGGTCCTGGGGCCGGGTTTGTTCAACATCTTCATGGATGATCTGGAGGATGGCGTGGATTGCACCCTCAGCAGATTTACAGATGACACTAAACTGGGAGGAGAGCTAGATACGCTGGAGGGCAGGGATAGGATACAGAGGGACCTAGACAAATTGGAGGATTGGGCCAAAAGAAATCTGATGAGGTTCAAGAAGGACCAGTGCAGAGTCCTGCACTTAGGACGGAAGAATCCCATGCACCGCTACAGACTAGGGACCGAATGGCTCGGCAGCAGTTCTGCAGAAAAGGACCTGGGGATTGCAGTGGATGAGAAGCTGGCTATGAGTCAGCAGTGTGCCCTTGTTGCCAAGAAGGCTAACAGCATCTTGGGCTGCATTAGTAGGAGCAATGCCAGCAGATTGAGGGAAGTGATTATTCCCCTCTGTTCAGCACTGGTGAGGCCATATCTGGAAGATTGCGTCCAGTTTTGGGCCCCCACTACAGAAAGGATGTAGACAAATTGGAGAGACTACAGCGGAGAGCAATGAAAATGATTAGGGGGCTGGGGCAGGGGATTTACGAGGAGAGGCTGAGGGAACTGGGCTTGTTTAGTCTGCAGAAGAGAAGAGTGAGGGGGGATTTGATAGCAGCCTTTAACCACCTGAAGGGGGGGGGTTCCACAGAGGATGGAGCTCGGCTGTTCTCAGTGGTGGCAGACGACAGAATGAGGAGCAATGGTCTCAAGTTGCAGTGGGGGAGGTCTAGGTTGGATATTAGGAACCACTGTTTCACGAGGAGGGTGGTGAAGCACTGGACTGGGTTCCCTAGGGAGGTGGTGGAATCTCCTTCCTTAGAGGTTTTTAAGGCCCGGCTTGAGAAAGCCCTGGCTGGGATGATTAATTGGGGATTGGTCCTGCTTTGACCAGGGGGTTGGACTAGATACCGCCTGAGGTCCCTTCCGACCCTATGATTCTGTGTCTCTTGGAGGATGCCACACTCACTGTGGTGGCACGGGGCCAAGGCTGTGCACTGATTTTGTTTTTGTAGGGTCTCCCAGGAGTGCGGAGGGCGGGAGGAAGGATTACAGCCTGCCCCTTCCCAGCTGTACTGGTGCCCGGGTGGAGATCCTGGGAAAACTCCCTGCGGACACTATCAGCAATCCGCTCAGCAAATCCATCTCCCTGCCAAGGGGTCCTGGGGCATGTGAGAGACCCAGCAATAACAAACCGGTGCATTTGGCGCCCACTGCTTCCAAGAGGCCCTACAATAACAAGTGGAAACGGAGTGATCACCAGGAGACCCTTCAATAACATACTTGCCCAGCGCTCCCACAAGACCTTATAGTGAGACACTGGGGCCTGACAGGACCCTACAATAACAAACCCAGGGATCGCAGAGCCCCGAGTCCCCTGGCCAGACCCTGCTGATGTGTTTTGAAGGCAGGAGGCAGTGGAGGGGGGAGAAAGCAGATTAAAAACCCCCGTGTGCGTCATTCCTGGAGACCCCCAGAGCTCTCTGGCTTTGTTGCTGCTCTTGGCCAGGGGGTGGCGGGTCCCCTTTGGCAGGGAGGCTGATGTGTATTGTGGGGAGATTGGTGAGGAGGCTGTTGGGTGGGGAGGGACATTTGGTGGGAGGGAGTTCGTGGTGGTGAGGTCCTGGGGATCTTGTGGTCGCGGGGGCGGGGAGAGGCAGGGGGCGCAGTGGAGACGTGTTCCAAAGATGTGGAGGGTGATTGGAGGTGAGGGGGAGGTTCCAGGGGGGGCACAACTGGGGGGGTTCCAGGGAGGTGGATTTGGTGGAGGGGGATTCGGTGGAAGGGGTCCTGAGGGGGGAATTCAGTGGGGAAGTGTTCTGAGGTTGCGGGGGGGAATTCAGGGGGGCAGGACTGGGGAGATTATGGGGGCGATTGGGCGTGTGTGTCGGGTGGGGGGGTGTTGTTGGAGGGTGCTCCGGGGTCCTGGTGGGATTTCCTGGGGCAGGTGGTGGGTTTTGGGGGTCAGCTGAGGGATTGGGCGGGGGGCCCAACTGGGGTGGTGGGTTGGGGGTTCGGTGACCGGGGCGGGGGGTTCCAGTGCATTTTGTGCTGAAGGCTTCCCCGTCCGTCCGTGCAGAGCAAAGGGGGCATCCTGTCCAAGGCCTGCGACTACATCCGGGAGCTGCGCCAGACCAACCAGCGCATGCAGGAGACCTTCAAGGAGGCCGAGCGGCTGCAGATGGACAACGAGCTGCTACGGCAACAGGTAGCCATGGCGATGCCCCCTCCCTCCCCTGTCTGTCTGTCCATCCCCTTATATTCCCCCCGCATCCGTTCCCCCACGTCTACCTTTCCATGCCAAAGCGTCCCAACGTGCTGTTAACACAGCGATTGTGCGGCTGCTTCTGGAGTGGGGAACAGCCGCACGTAACACCGCACAGGCTGGATCGCCTGGCGCCGAGATGCAGCCACCTCTGGGGCGAGGCAGCTGGGGAACAGCCGCACATCGCACCACATAGCAGTTTGGGCCACGGTCGGGGAGAATGTCGAACCCAATTGAAGCTGGAGCAGAAAGTTTTCGAGTCGGCGTGATGGGAGTTTGACCAGGAAACCAGTATTCACATCTCTGATGCCGAGGAGAAGTCCCGGGATGTTTAATGCATTGAGGCCGGCCCTGACCGCCAGGGGAGAGCCCCCACCCCGCCCCCTAGCACTGCATTGGGGCAGCCCGGCCTGCCAGTGGAGAGCGCCCCCTGCTGAGCCCTGCCCTGAGCATTCAGCCTCCTCTGCCCCTCCCTGCACTTCCCACAGCGAGTCCGCCCAGGCGGGACTCCTGGGGAAGCCAGAGGGTCCTGCCCCCCAACTCTGCAGTCAGACGTGACTCTCAGCCAGCCAGTAAAACGGAGGTTTATTAGACGACAGGAACATGGTCTAACACAGAGCTTGTAGGTGCAAAGAACGGGACCCCCTCAGCTGGGTCCATTTTGGGGGGCAGGGAGACAGACAACCACGTCTGCCCTTCACTCCATGTCCCCAGCCAGCCCCAAACTGAAACTCCCTCCAGCCCCTCCTCCTCTGGGCTTTGTTCCTTTCCCGGGGCAGGAGGTCACCGGTTTCCTTTGTCCTCCAACCCTTTAGCTCTCACCTGGCAGGGGGGGAAGGGCCCAGGCCATGAGATGCCAGGAAACAGGGTGTCGGCCATTCTCTGTGTCCAGACCCCTGCACACACCTGCCCTCTAGGGCTCTGCAATGACCATACACCCTTATCCCACCCCCTAGATACTTAAGAACTGCATAGGGGAAACTGAGCCACCCCGACAATATTCAGAGGAAACATTAAGAACAGTCCCGCTTCGTCACAGTTTCCCTCTCTCTCTCCTGCCCAGATCGAGGAGCTGAAGAACGAGAACGCCCTCCTCCGAGCGCAGCTTCAGCAGCACGGCATCGAAACCGTGGGCGACACCCCGGGGCAGTAACCGCTTCTTCCCCACCACCACGTCGCCCTCCTCCTCCTCGGCACCGGATCGCCGCCCTTCCCCCGCCTCCTTCCCTCCCTTCTGCCCTCTGTCTGGTGCAAAGAGAGCTCCCCGTGTTCACTCGTGCGGCCAAACTCGACCGGGGGGGGGCGCTGAGGTGGCAGCCGCACGGCCGGCCCCCGCTTTGTCGTGCCCCCCTCCTATGAGCCCCACCGGCCCCCTCCCCCCCACGTAGGAAATATTAAGATTAAAGCAAACAAACTGCGTTTTTTATAGTAGGTTTTTAACACAGGATAGCAGCCCTGGGACGTCCATTTCCCTCCCCCAGCCCAGCCATGGGTTCAAATCTTCCCCATTCCGGCTTAAAGTCCCGTCACAGTGGCCCTTCCCCGTCCGATCCTTCCGTTCAAGCCGCGGTGTGTGTCTCGCTCAGCGAGGAGGCTGTCGCCATGTGGCTCCAGCTGGCTCTTTCTTTCTCAAGGCAGGTAGCTACATGGCCAAAGTCAGCCCTGGGGGTGGGGTTCTGTGGCTGCCTCCCCCCCGCCTCCCGTTTTGGACACCCGGGGGGGTTATCTTTCCTCTGCAGGCAGCGAACCTCTGAAAAATCACACCCCTTTGAAAATGTAGCAACTCAGGGGGGCAGGAATGGGGCCATCCCAAATCACTAGCCCAGTTCAGCGAGTTCTAGCCAGCTGGCGTGGCTCCGATTGGCTCGAATCCACTCGTGACTCTCCAGCTGAGCAATTCAGTTAAAACCCTTGCGGCCACCAGACCTTCCAAAGGCAGCGAGCAATTTTGTAGCTCTTATTTTATTTTATTTTTCCCCCTGCCTGTCAAATCGCAGCTACCGTTTCTGAGAGGTCTGACTTCCGGGGGGGGGGGGGGGCTTTCCGAAAACCCCCTCACGGCATCTCATGTCGGGCAGCCGGGAAAAAGTAGAGACCATGCAGCATTGCTAGCCCGTTCTCTTCCTAAACCTGTGGCTGTCCCATGTGTCCACTTGTCTGATCTGTTCCTCAGCCCTCTTTCTCTTGTAATTATGTTTTGAACAGAGGGAAGTCGGAGTGAAAACGCTAACAGCGTCCCTCTTTTATTTTATTTTTTTATTTTTTTTTGTAATTAATCTGTATTTTATTTTTTAGTTCCAAATGCGTTTGTATAGAGGTACGTCGCCTGTATCATAACTTGAACCCAGAAAGTTTAATATTTACCACGATCGACTAAATGCTTGTTTTCTGTGGAGGGGTTTTGGCAGATATATTCCGATACATAATTTTTTTTAAAAAAATTATAAATTCAGCGGTCGATCGCACAATCTTTGGCTCGGAATCAGGAGATCTCTTCAGTCCCCTTCTCTCGCGATCTTCAATTTGGCTTTATTTCTCTTCTCGAAGCACGAGATTTTTTTTCTTTTTTTTTTCTTTTTCTTTTTTTTTTTTTGGCTTTTTGGGTTGGTTGATTGTTTTTAAATAAGCATGGCTCTAAAAATCCGAAAATTCGCAAAACCCACCAAAAAAAAATTTATAATAGCGAGCTTTTAGCTTTGGGGTTTTTTTTATATACCGGCAAAACAAAAAACAAAAAAACAAAAAAAAAAAGAGAGAGAAGCAAGGCTTTCAGATGGAATTGGAAATATTGTGTATCCTTTTTGTCCTGGTCCCTGCGGAACGTAAGAATGAATGAATCAAGGAAAGAAAAAAAGGCAAATCAGATTTAAGGAAAAGAAAAGGAAGGGGAAAAAAAATGTGGATTGAGTTGAATTGCAGCGTTTGAATGTTGGAAAGTAGGAAATTAATTCTGTTTATATATAAAAGAGGAAAAAACTGCACAGACATAATATTGTATCAGGTCATTTCCTTGTGGTTTTACGGTGTGGGGAGGGGAAGGGATGGGGGTTGAGTGGGGTGACCCCAGATCTGAGCGGGGTGGGGGGCAGATGCGCAGAAGGATGGTGGTGTCTGGCTGGGGGGGGGGGTCTGCAGAGCGATGGGGTATCGCTGGAGGGGTGGAGTTATATGGAGGGGGGGACAGTGCACGGACAGGTGGAAAGATGGAGGGGTTGGGGTGCGCACCCCCAGCTGGAGAAAATGGCTCTCGGATCTGGGTGCGCACCAGTGTCCCCTCCTGGGAGGACTCGGACCTGCCTCTGTTGAGGGTTGTCGGGCTTTGTGTGTTGCCGCTGGCTGAGAGGCATGGAAAGGCTCAGGGTGTGAATGTGGGGTGTGTGTGTGAAGGGGGACAGACTGCCGCCCCCTGCTGGTGGGTGTGAGACTTGCACTGGGTCTGTCCCACTACCCCCCCCACCCCGCGCCGGATGTGGTGTCTCGGGTGCATGCGGGACCCCTGCTGGATTGTCCCTGCCCTGCTGTGCGGCCCCCGCCTCCCCTGCCTTGTCAAGTTCTCCCTAGGAGACATGTTGGGAAGAGCAGAGGAGCAGAGACAACATCTAGGAACTCCCTGGTGCATCCCCCCCTCTGTGCTGCCTGGGCAAGGGGGGGGTCCCCCAGATCTCAACCCCGTCCCCTTCTGATCCGGAGCTGTGGAGAGTTCGCCCAACACACACTGGGAGGCGCCTGATCATCACCCACTTCTCCCTTGCTAAGATTTTTCTCCCTCCCCAGTGAGCTTGCTCAGGACTGTTTGCAAGGGGGCTGACCGGCTGTCGGCAGAGATGGCAGGATTCACGGGTTCCCTTTCAGAGCTGCAGCTTCTGGGCCCGGCTCCCTTCGCTCAGAGCTGGGCGCCAGGTCCCGTCACAAGGGTGAGGCAGAGAGAACCCCGCGAGCCCGCCTGGAAATGCGCTTTCCATCCCAAGACCGGGGTTTAGGTTTTGAACATTTATTTCCCATCTGGAATTGGGACCAAAAAAGTCAAAATCTGAAATTTTCACCAAGCGGAAATGGAAAGATGCTTCCGAGCAGGTCGATGGGGACGTCTCGCTTCGGCTGTTTGGACGCATTTTGTTTCTAGTTGGACCGAAATGTAATTTTTACTGTCTGTTACTTCAAAATTGTGAAACCAAGGGTCATTTTGACCCAAGAAAAGGAACTTCTTTGGTTTTAGAAAACGTCGACGACTCTGCAACTTCTCTTTTTTCAACCAAGAAATTGATCGAAACAGATTCTTTCCTGCAAACACTTTTGGTTTCAACTAACTGGCATTTTCTGATCCAAGAAACCATTTCATTAAATAAAAAATCCCTGGATCTACTGTGGGTTACGTCCCCCTAGTGCCAGGGGTGTCAATCGGCAGATTGCGGGCCAAACCTGGACCGCCAGGCGCTTTTGAACAGACCCGGAAATCTTTTTATTTACTTATTGTGGTGAATTTTTTATTTATTTTTTCTGGAATCTGGGCCCTGACACAAAACAATTGACTACCCCTGATCCAGAAGGTGGAACGCCAAAGATTGGAGGGGCCCTTAAGTTACTTAGCTGCCCTTCCACTCCTGCCTCTTCCATCCCGTACAGGGATCTCTCTCCTGCCAGCTTGCCCCAGGAATCCTGGAGGGGGTGTCCTGCCTGGGGTGTTGGTTTGCATTGGGGGGCATGTGGGGTCTCTAAGGCGATGGGGTTGTTTGCGGAGCTGGGAGCGATTTCAAGGCTGCCTCTGTTCCACAACGCAAGCTGGGCTGCCCTCTTGGCTCGGAGGCCTGGGAACGAGCCCCGGATCCCGCTGGTTGGCTGTGAAGCCAGAGTAAGCTCGGTGGAGTTACTCTGGATTTACACAGCGGCGCAGGTGAAGGGTGGGGAGGCGACTGCAGAGTAACTCACTGGCGTTGGTGGGGTTACTCCGCCTTTCCGCCCGGGGCGACTGAGTTGGGGGTTACTCTGGATTTACACCAGGGGTGACTGGAGTAACACTGTTGACCTAGAAGGAGGGTGACTCTGGATTTTCTCAAGGGTGGAACTCAGGTGGCATTACGGTGGGTGTGCAGAGGGAATTCCTGAGTTTACATTGGGGGTCTAAGGGCTAACTGCTGTGTAAATCCAGACGATAGCCCACTAACGGGAGCAGTCGGTCTAGGTTTAAGCTGACCTGAGGAGTGACTCCCTTGATTGCAGTGGGGCAGTTACTCTGGTTTCACAGGGGGGCGGCCCCTCCAGGCGTCTAGCAACGTGTGCCTCCGTGGATTAGCCGCTGCATTAACTCAGCAGGGCTAGGACAGCAGCCGATCAACTTTGCTTTGCTTCCAGCGTCCCACTGCAGAGCCTGGAGCTGGGCCAGGGCCGGAGTTCTGTTTCCCCCGGGAATTCCCTGACTTGTACAATTGTTTGTATCCCAAGTAGGAAGGACACCTCGGATTTCACAATGTCCCCTGAAATTGACTCACTGACTTTCTAAATCTTACAATGCAGCGTAAAATGAAATGACTGTTAGAAACTAACGAGGAGGCAAAGTGTTCCTCTTGCACGAGGGCTGGTTGCTTTCTGTCTTTTTCCCCCAAAATGAAATTTCAGCAAAATCGCCGCAGTCCCGCAGCCCTTTTCCGTTCCGACAAGTCGGCATTGAAGGGCCCAGTCCCCGGCTGCTGTCAATGGCCATAGATCCACTGGAGTGAATTTCTTTCTCTTAAGAGAATGACTAGAAGGGGAAAAAATGGTTCGGAAATACGTTTTGTGTGTACAAGTGAAAGAAGTAAATAAAATCCAGCGTGTGGCAACTCACCCGAGTTAGGGGGGTGCACCCATTGTTGCTGATCGGGGTGATCAGGAGTAATGTGGGGGAGCCGATGGGACCAATTCCCCTTTTGCTAACCTGGGTGTAAATCAGGAGTCGTTCACTGAAATAATGCACTTCGCATCGGTTTTGACAAGGGAGAGGAAATAAAGCTGATTTCTCTTCATAATGACGCCTTTGGGTTTTAAAAGTGACTTTTTTTTGGTTTTAAAAACGTTTTTGTTTTTCCCGCTTTTGGTGATTTCTGTCAATGGGGTTATTTATTTAATGTTTTTGTTCATTTGCCTTTTTTCTAATAGGCGAGGGTGGAGTGGGGAGCATTTAAAATGGCAATAAAACAAAAATGGAAATGTCTGAAAGATTCTTCCTTTGTATCTATCCAGTCGCTGTCTGTCTGTCCCAAGCAGTCAGTCGTCACTCATCCAGCTCTCCAGATTCATGATCCTCCATCCATCCAACAGCTCCTCCTTTATCGTCAGAGCCCCCGTATTCTGCAGCAACATGGCACCAAATCCTGCACCCGTGCTAAGGTGCTGCATCTCCAGGAAGTAGCCTTTGTTTCCCTCCCTCACGCTTCCAAATACACGCCCCCTTGGGACTCCTAGTTCACACCGCTCCAAGGTGCTGTTTCAGGCTCTCTGCAAACTCAGTCATGGTATCAGTTACTCTTGGCTCACCTTTTATGAAGTTGCATCTGAAGAAGTGGGGTTTTTACCCAAAGAAAGCTTATGCTCAAATAAATCTGTTAGTCTTTAAGGTGCCGCCGGACTCCTCATTGTTTTTGTGGATACAGACTAACACGGCTACCCCCTGACACTCTATGAAGTTGTCTTTCCCACCACGCGGCCAAGCATCTTGACTATTTTTTTTCCCACTGGAAGCGGAGGTGGTGCAATGCGATTCTCTGGAATATCTCCTCAAGATTCACCGCTGCCATGCTGGTTCCAGATCCCCGAGGGAATGAACCGAACAGGTAATCATCAAGTGATCCATCCCCTGTCGCCTATTCCAAGCTCCCTCTGCAAGCTAGTTAGGTTGTTTGCCCCATGCCTGGTCAGGGCACATTAGTCCACAAACTGCCTCCGGTCTCATTTCTAGGCTCAATTGAGTCTAAGCCAAATTGTTCCCCTACCTCTCCCAATGGTCCCAGGTCAATATACAGATTAGATCTTACCCACAAATCACACTCGTGCCAATCCTTTAGAATCTAAAATCTAAAGGTTTATTCATAAAAGGAAAAAGATACAGGTAAGAGGTAGAATTGGTTCAATGGAATCAAATCCATACAGTCATGGCAACGTTCTTGGGTCAGGCTTGTAGCCGTGGTGGAATAACCTGCAGGTTCAAATCAAGTCTCTGGAGAACACCCATAGCTGGGATGGGCCGTTCAGTCCTTGGTTCAAAGCTTCAGTTTGTAGCAAGGTCCCTCCAGAGGTCTGAAGCAGGATTGAAGACCAGCTGGAGAAGATGCAGCCGTGTTTTACAGTCTCTTGCCATGTGGTCTTTCTTTCTTTGTCCCAAGGCCAAGCTGCCCATCCCACGGCCTGGAAACCCCTCGGAGTTCAGGCCACAGGCCGGTCCCCGCATGCCTTGCTGAGTCCCAAGGCGTGTCTGCCGTCTCTCAAGGGGACAGTTGTGTAGCTGATGGTCCTTAATGGGCCGCCAAGCAGGCACGGCAGAGCCACCCCAGGGTTGGGGTGTCCCCCAGAAGCAGAGCACATGTTTGAAATACGGACAACAGAGCCAATATTCATAACTTCAACTACAAAAATGATTCACGCTTCCAGGTAGCACCATCCTAACGAGCAAACCCTAACCTTCCCATCGCCCCCTCAAATATAGAACCGTGGTCGCACCAGTGAGCGGTACGGTCACGGATTCTGTCGATAACGGCCCAGAGGTAAAGAGCCGGCTGTAGAGTCAGGAACAGAGCCACACCCATCACCCAGGAAGCCCCATGCCCTGCTCTAACCACTGGACCCCACTCCCCTCCCAGAGCCAGGGAGAACGCTCAGGCGTCCTGGCTCCCACCGCTCCCCCCTGCTCTAACCACTAGACCCCACTCCCCTCCCAGAGCTGGGGAGAGAACCCAGGAGTCCTGGCTCCCACTGTCCCCCCCCCCTGCTCTAACCACTAGACCCCACTCCCCTCCCAGGG